GAGAGGAGCTATAAAAAAACATGCTGTCTTCTGCCGGGGATGAATCCATATCTCACATAACCTGTCCTGCTCTTCTGGCATACTTCCCAATCCCTCAGGCAACCAGAGCTGGCTACCTCTGAGCCTATGACATAGCTCCTACTTTCCCAGCACTTACGCTCCAATCATGTGTCATCTGATGAAACGCTACACCCCAGTCACCATTATTCGTCTGGACACAGGAGCCTCTGGAATGTATCGGATTCCTGCCTCAGGGGGTAGGCACCTTGGAAACATGGTCCTACCTCCACCGGCTTAGCCTCTCCCACTTTTCCTCCTCCCCCCCCCTCTTCTCTCTCTTCGTCTATCTTTCCATTCAGCAAAATTCCACTAGAGGCCTGCTTGATTTACACTGCTTCATTGCCCATCTGACATGTGCTCGCATTTTTTGACGTACGACTTCACAATAGAAGGACATGCAAGGGACTGTTTAGAGTTTCGGGACCGTTTTCCAGCTGTCTGCTCCCTCCTTTATGTCAAAAGTCCCAACCAACGGGTAAACGCCGCAGCGAACGTTACCCTTTCCCACCATTGATGCTCGGTAACACTACCTTCTGTACTTGAGCGCAAGCGCCAGAGCTCAACTAGAAGTTCAAATTAGAAAACTATTTTGTCCTCAATGGTACAACCACTCTCAACCTACCTCCCCTCTCCAGAGAGCAACAGTTAGGCCGTGCAGTACTCAGGCCTGTAGTATTGAGTATCTCTGAGTCACTGGCCTGCGTAATTCAGTCTAGGGAATTATGACAGTGGAAAATCATTTCCCTGGGCCGGGGATTGGAGGCCATGGCTAATCGTTCAGTAATCTGATCTGCCTGCATACTGTAGTCAGCCGCGCCGCTAGCCTAGCCAGGCAGTCCCACATGTGGACAGACACCCCGAGTCCCTGCCAACAATCTGATGGAGACTAGCACTATTCAAAAACAACTCTCCAGGTTTTCCCGAGGATTACAGATGCTATCGGATCATTTGCTAATACTCGGTTGTGCTGTGCTGTTCGAAATGTATTTACTCCGCTCCTGCTCTCCAATACCCCTCTCGATAGCACAGCCTAAGCCAGTAAATGCCATAGCCACATTCCAGGCAGAAAAAAAAGGCACCTCAATACAAACTACTTTGCAGGTTACAATAGTACAGTCTGCCTCTTTCATTCTGGCATATTAATCCAAAATCTTGACTTAATGAGGAAACATCTGAGTTAGCCTGTCAAACAGCAGGACATTTTGGGTATACTTCCAATTGTAGATTCCAGTATCTAGTGGAGCCAGTGGTGTTGTAGTAGTATATGAATAAGAACCATAGGGAGCAGTACTGTGGCACAAAGCGGTGCTTATACCCAGCAGAGAGGGTTGGGGGGACTTGAGTTTTGGAAAGATGCCTGGCTTCAGACCCACTCTAAAGAGAGGTCTGCCCCCCACACACTGAGTGTGGATACAAGGGGCACTGACATGGAAAAATACAAGAGCTGGCATGTTGTTGGGCACTGCAGTTCCCAACAGTTAACTTGTGCAGCATTAAATGTGATGATGGTATAGTTACTGCAGTACAATTAAACTTACATCTTCCTCTAGGTGGAGATAAGTAGCAATAAAGCAGTCAATGCTATGATTGTCAGCTAACAACATCTATCATGTTCCCCCTATTAAAGCCTAAAATCTGAAATGACAAATCATCTGTGATCATGTCTCATTCTGAGCCAAACTCTGCTCGGTGACGTGATTTGTCATATACTGTGATGCCGACAGTATTTTAACAACCTCTATGTGTAGGCATTGTAACCCATTCGCAGCATTTCACAGGCATATCTAAGTGAAGAGATGCTGATATATGATCAAATGGCTGCGGCAGCAGTGGCAGCCTTCATCAACTGAAAGCACTAGATCACAGCATGTTTGGCAGCCAGTGGGAGCAGTCAGATGGAGGGTTAGAACAACCAGACAAACAGTTGGCACAGATAAATGGAACACAACTTAAGATTCAGCTCTCCACAAATTTGACAAACAAATGACAACCACACTCCTTTTTTAATCTAATCTGCAAATGGAATAAGCCCTAGATTGTTTTTTTTTTTTAACAAATGATGGGTGGAACATGTGATAAACAACACATGGCTCGATAATAATAAAAGTGTGAAGCAGTGGTCAAATAAATCGCATGTATGGCACATAAAACCAGAAGGACAGCACTTTTCAGTCACAAAAATGTGTTCTGCAGCTGAGCCGAAACGCAGGGAAAGTCCTTATGACTTTGCCAAATACATTCTGAGAGTGAGTCATTCTCCTTTAGTAATCTCTCACTCACATAGGTGCACGCTTTCACACGCACACACCCCAAGGCAACAGATTTCAGGCAGGTCTGGACTGCCCCTTTTTGCTACAGAGCGGAGTCAAGTGTTTATAGTATTTAATAGATGCAGCTATCTCGGCGGGGACGAGACATTTGCTCCAACTTACACAAAAACAAAGCAGACCTGCTCACTACAAGGCAGATCTTATTTAAGACACAGCATCGTTGGGGCGAAGCAAAAGCAAATATGCCACACATAAACAACACATTAAAAACACTTTAAAAGGAAGACAAACTGAATGGAAATCTTTGTTGACAGTGACTTTGTTGACTGTCTTACTTTTTGGAAAATTGGAGAATGCTAAAGCATAGTCAGCATTATCATTTATGTTCATGGTTAGGAGAAAAGCCTTTTGCAATCTTACTGTATTTGCAATAATCAGCTTGCAGATGATTCCTACAGGTAGCTACAGAACAGTCTAATGCATCATCTGTCATAAACACAGAGCCTGCAGTCGCTGCTCATAATAATTAACTTAACTTCCCCCAGAAATCATTTGGACAAATTGAGTAATGTTTAAGCAGTGGTTGCATTCCCATGGTGGTCTTTTATCCACCTCTGTCATGTGCAGTGCTATTAGATGAGGTGGCAGACAGTCGTATCGACCTTTAATTAGAATTTGCACTCAAAATCGTTTGGCCTTTTTTCCATTGCAAGAGACACGTTAGGCGGTTATCGTTTGTGGGCAAATTGCTGCATTGTTGCAAATTTAGTTGAAGCTAACTTGAGGCGAGCGTTTGATTAAAACTCCATACGCCGCAGCTGCTACAAAGTTACAAAAACAAGTTGCTCGCTTGTCGCTGGTACCGGGCTGCGTTATGGTCTCCAGACAGATAAAGGAATTCCGATATTAAATCACACAGCCGAGCAGCCGGACACAGCTCTATCCTGAGCACAAACTTCGACCCGACCCGCTTCGGGGGAAAAAAAGAAAATAACGTTAGCCTCCTTTATCTGCTGCCATATGGCCGAGCTGCAAGCTACACCGACCCTCCGCTGTACCGCCGGGGCTTTTCATGTTTCCAGCCAGGGGAGGAGGGGGGAGAGTGAGGCCGAAAAACTGGCCTCATTCTCCGTCTGCGCCAGACAACGTTTCCCTGGCCTGGCCGAGCGGCGGGGCTCTCTCGGTCGTGTACTAAAACATGTGCAAAAAAAAAAAAACCGCCGCGACGAGACTCGTTGTGTCGATATACTCACCGTGTCTGGGTCTAGTTGGGTTTGGGGCAACACTGGCTCGCTGAAATGAATGCGGGATTGAGGCACGCTGGGCGCATGTCGTCGTCGTCGTCTCGGTTTTGCTGTCGGCTGTGATGTGGAAGCGGCACAGCGGACTCGGCTGGGAGAAATCTGGAAATCTGAGAATGCCCCTCTCTGTCTGCAGCTCTGTGCACCGGCAGTGGCCCATAACTACCGACAGGAGGCGCCAGCACAGCACATTTTTGTCTCTGATATGCGCATACATGCAAACTAGACAACTCCTCAAAGAAATCAGTGTGTGATCATCTTCCTGCAGGGGCTTATCTGCATCCCTGCTCCTCAATAGTGAGATTACGGAGGCCTTGATGTGCTGCGTGTTACCACTCTAGTTGGGTTTTAATTGTGCTGTGATAGTGGGATTATCCTTAAAGTTTTGTGATTCATGTTTCTTAGGAACAAGAGCTCAGGGATAGTCGTGATGATTAGTCACCACACCATGCATGTTACACAACAAGCGGCCATGCAAAAAAAAAACAAGAGGGCTTGGTCTTATAAATTACATCTCTGTTTCCTAATGAAAAAATCCTATCATGTCACTTCAAGTACAATGTCATCTGTATTCAGTCATAGTGACCTTGTAATACTCAAGGTCCTCCTATTAATACTCAGAGGACTATAATTGTATTGGATATTTTCAGTATATTTTGAGGGAAATATATTTAATAGAATACTATTATTGTTCTTTACTATTACTATTTAAAGGTACTGATTATTGTAAAGACTGAACAACAAACACCATCAATCTTGAATTACGTACCACCAAACAAATAGGCTATAGGCTAAATGAATATGAAATATACATATGATTATAAATGAACAGAAACTAATGTCACAGTGAACAATCAACGCCGCTCTGAGAATATCATTTTTTTGAATGGAGCTCTTAAAACACAAACCTGTTAGTCAGTAGTACACCTACACATCCTCTGACCTTGTGACTCATGAGGTTGGTGATTTTGATTACAGAGTGGCTAAATCCAAGACAAAGCCCCCCTTCAAAATAGCTTTGGCTGTCTCATCCACATCACATGAGGAGATAGGGTCACACGACTCATTAAGACAAAGGCCATGCACAGAAGGTTTACTTTGGTGTCCCACTAAACACAGGGCAAGACCCAGACTGTGCACCCAAAAGAAAAAATAAAATTCAGAGTAAACCTTTCTTACGGAAATATGATCACGGGAGCATCTGTTGATCAATAATCTGTGTCGCCTAGATGATGAGCACAGTGCAACTTATTATAGGCCTATCTCAAAGTCACTGAATCTAACTCAGACACCAAAAGCAACCAAAGAGAGTAAAGAGGTTTTTCATTTGGAAGAAGCCTAAAAGTACAGCAGACTTCCCTTTTTGACCTCCTGAACTGCAGCTGAGCTATAAAAGAGTTGCCAGCTTTT